ATACTGCTAGATTTAGTTTGCTAGTATTTTGTTGAAAAATTTTGCATCCCTATTTATGAGATATTGGCCTGTAGTTTCTTTGCTTGTGATGCTTTTTAAAATTTTGGTATCAGAGTGATACTAGCCAAAGAGAATAAGGTGGGAAGTGTTTCCTTCTCTTCTATTTTGTGGAAAAGTTTTTAAAGGATTTGTATAAATTCTTCTATAAATATCTGATAGACTATACCAGGGAAGCCATTAAATTCTGGACTTATTTTGTTGAGAAGTTTTTTGAAATTATTATTACTGATTGAGTCTCTTTACTTATTATAAGGTTGGTCAGATTTTTTATTTCTTCTTGAGTATTATCAGTAAATTTGTGCCTTTGTGGGATTTTGTGCATCTCATCTGAGTTATACACAGTTGTTTATATATTTCCTCATAGTAATTTTAATTTTTGTAATGTCAGTAGTGATGTCCCCTCTTTGATTCTTGTTTTTGATATTTGTTTTTTCTCTATTTTTTTATGGTCATTCTCACTACAAGTTTATTAGTTCTGTTGATAGTTTCAAAAACTAACTTTTGGCTTTATTAATTTTGTCCTATTTCACATGTTTCTGCTCTTTATTATTATTTACTTCCTCCTTCTTGCTTTGGGTTTACTTTCCAGTTTCCTAAGTTGAGTGGTCAGGTTGTTGATTTAAGATCATTCCAGCTGTGGCTCAGTGGTTAGAGCTTCAGCCCACACCCTGAAGGGAAGTGGGTTTGAATCACCGTCAAGGGCATGTACCTGGGTTGCAGGTTCGATCCCCGCCCCAGGCGTGTGCAGGGGGCAACCAATCGGGGTGTCGCTCTCACATTGATGCTTCTCTCTCCTCCCCCCTCCTCCCTCCCTCCCCTCCACTCTCTCTAAAAATCAATGGAAAAAATATCCTTTGGTGAGTATTAACAACAGAAAAATCATTTTTGTTAATATAGATGTTTAGAGCTATAAGTTTCCCTCTAAGCACACATTTGTGAATTTTCTAAATTTCTTCTATTGATTTTTCCAAGTCTTACTGTTTAATGTCTCTTTCTCCCTTCAATTTTATCAACTAGCTTCATGTGTTTTTTTAAGTGTATACACTTTAAACATTGTTATATCTGATGGACTGTCATTAATATGTTTTACTGTGAAAGAAGTAACACTTCTCGTCTTGTTTTTTATTTAAGTATAGCTGGCACACAATCTCACATTGATTATATTATTTTCGGGTGCACGATACGATTCATCCTTCCTTGAAGCCCTCCCCGGGACGTGTCCCCGACGACCCCGGGAGAGGGGAGGGGAGGGGAGGGAGGC